TGTATCTTGACCAGGGCATAACTTTTTCATGGTTCATCATAAAAATCCCATCCAATGCTAATTTTGAAGGGAATGCAATTTCCTACAATCCATATTCACACTCCAAGTCCAAGAAATGCTCTCACAAAAAGTTATCAATTTTTACATTATAGGTCAAATTCAAAAGTCAACAAATGTGCACTTTAAGTCAAAGGCCATAACTTGAGATTGGTAAATCCAAATGACATGGGACCAAAGGCATTGGTTAGAGGACTTCAATACCTTTCCAAAATTTCCAAGAACATGTTCATATGATCAAAATTGAGCAAGATATGCATTGGAGAAGTTGGGAAATTTTTAGGAATTTGCAAAAGTCAACTTTGCTCAAAATACCTTATTTTTGCTAATGGGCCTCAAATCTCTTCTTGAAACTTCATCCATGGCCTATGCACGACCCATCAAGCTTAATTGAATTTATTTTCTTATTTTTATTGATTAATTGGATTTTTAATTAATATTAATTCATTTAATTAATTTAAATTGTAGGAAAATGCAAGATTTGATTTTTTCAATCAATTTGTGAAGCAAATATGGTCAGGATATGCTGGCAATTTCGTGCTCAAAGTCAAAGATGAAAAATCTCCAAAATTGGCAACTTTGTTCAATCATGAAAATGCAAAAAGATTTGATTTTCAATCAAAGATCAAATCATCAATTCAATGGATTCTTGCTCAAGTTTTGACCTAATTCCATTCCTCTATATATATGCAAGCAAACCCTGATGCAAAAAACGTGAGAAAGCTGCAGAAAAAATCCATAGCATATTGAGAAATTTCAAGAAAATTGCAAAACTGATTTTTACATTCCAGGCCAATTCAAGACATTTTATTGATTCTAACACCTTGCAGGAGTTCCCAGGAGTGTGTGGCAATCAAATTCAAACCTTAAAGCTCAAAGAATCGTCCTAGACAGTTTCACAGTTTACCCCTTTTTTCCAAAATCGTATTGTTGAATTCATGTGCATTTAACATATTTTCTTGATTGTTTTGCATTGATAGGGACCATACGAAGCTAATGGTATCATTCAATTGAATTATAACGCCATAAATCACAAGATGCCATAGTTGAATTTTTAGGGTTCATAAGCTTTGAATTGGGGCTTTGCAATCCAGGAAAAATTAAGACTTGTGAGACCCATGGTTGGAATCGTCAGAACAAGACGAACAAAACCGAACCCTCGCGAAATATTTATGTAAACCACAGCCCTAATCGCTATTTTTCGTGCAAGCATGTAGTGGGGGTTAAAAACCCCCGCTAATTGATTATGTTTTTACAGGTACCAGCGAGGAAGATGATGAGGTGTTCATATATGGTTGGACCATTTGAATAAGCGCGCGTGTTTTTTGTGTTTTACAGCATGTTGATTTATTTTTCAATATAATAATCTCCACTTATTTCACTAACAAATAGAACAGCTTGGTGTAGTGGCAGGGACGCATGCATATGACCATTGGGACCTGGGTTCGAATCCCAGGTCCCCCAAAATATTTGTTTCTATTTTTCTTCACATGATCACATGCATGCTTCCAAAAGTGATCCACCATATACCTCACTTATCAACACTCCAAGTGGCTTGCAAAGCAAATCTGAAGGCCAAGATGGAGTGACTACCATAGTCCCTGGTCAATGCATGTGTGGACGATCCAAAAAGTCAAAGAGGCTTGCAGCTTGTTGGGCCTGAGAATTGCAACAAACACCTCCTAATTGGGCCAGCACCCCTCTGGGTTCTTCCTTTTTCTCTTTATATTTTCCATTTAATTATTTTACTATTAATTATTATTATTATTACTTAATTAACTCAATTAATTTTTTTCATAATAAAATCAGAAAAACTAAAAATAATATTTTTTTCTTAATTAAAATTAATTTCACTTTATTTTTGTAAATAAATTCTAACATAAATTAATTTAGTTTAATTAGGGTTAATTTTAACTTTTTTTCAATAATTTAAAATAAATTAGAATTAGGGTTTTTACTAACTTTTGACTATTTTTATTTATTTCCTAAAAAACATAAAAAACTCAAAAAACATTTTTTTTATTAATTAATTAGTTTTTAGGTTTAATATTAATTAAATGCCAAATAACAAAAAACTCATTCTTTCTCAAAAAGGGTTAAAACCCTAAGAACTTCTCCGATTCAATTTTCTCTCGCGCGTATGTTTGTTTTATTAATTTTTGATCCATTATTATGTAATTGCTCTGAGAATATAATAGCTTTAATTAGGACTTTTTATCGCTTTCTTTAATTTCCCGCAATTTACTTTTTCAAGGGTTTGTTTTTGGCGATGTAAATACCCGACGCCTTGTAATAGCGTAGATTTATTTTCTGCAACTATTAACTGTTAGATGTATGTTAACTAGGCTATGCATGACAAGACTTATCTCTGAAATTAAAATCAACTCGTAGCTCACCATAACATGTGCAAAGATAATATAACTGAAACCTGACGCACGTGCACATGCCACTCCTAGGGTACGCCTCACTTGGTTGCCTCGACGTGGTCATTGAGTATAGGGTGTTTTAGAGGTCGCCCTCTTGTCTAAAGATCAAAAGTTGCCTCGGAATGGTTGCCTCGATAAAAATGATCTAGGACATTAGGGTTACCACTAAGGCGTCCTACTATTGCTTTGGTGACCACATGTCCCTATAATCGAATTGACCCGAAAAACTCCAACGACGGTGCTACCTACTTATCAATAATGGGATGGTACTATCTAAAGGACATTTACACAGCTTAATTTCTTTTGAGTAGGTAGAGGTTCTCAGGTACTTGCTCTTTCAAAACAAAAATACTTTTCGCACCTACACTTTTCTGACAAAAGTTTTCAAACAAACACTTCATACACTCTTGAGGACAAATACAAGAGTTAAATTGAAGTTTTCAAACAAACTTTTTTTCAAAACCCACAAACACAAGAAAAGCAAAACATTTTTGAAAACATAGTGAGCAAGTACCTAAGAGCTCGTGGATAACCACGGATAGAAAGGGTGCTAACACCTTCCCTTTCTATAATCTACCTCCCGAACCGAGAAACATCTCGAAAAGGAATTTTGTTGTGCTTTTGTCCTTTCCTCATTGGAGAAAATAAAAGACGGTGGTGACTCTTGATTACCACGACATTTCGCGAACCAGCATTCCAAAACAGTCAGTTCTCATTCCCACCGATCACACCAACAATCATCTGTATTATGCCCCGGGCTATCAGAGTGAAAAGCACAGCGGGCATTAGGGTTGTACTTCGGTGATGTTGTATTTGGATTCTGCGGGGCCTCCCTTAGAATCACTAGATTGGTCTTTAACAACAGCGGCAGAATCTGAGACAGAGTCATGCTGAGACGGGTGAATTGCCTTCGAGGTCTCTCATCCTTTTGTTGATTGTTGTGCTGAGTAGCACCAGCAGGTCTTGAAATAACAACTGCATTAACAGCTTGGCAGCGTTCAGGTCTATTCTGGATTTTCGAACTGTAGACAACGCTAGACTCTTTCTTAAAATGCTTCTTCTTGGTGCTTGATGAAGCACCCTTTTGTATCTTACCAGCCTTAATACCAGCCTCGATCCTCTCACCGGTCATAATTAGCTATGTAAACCCAGACAAAGAGCTTCCAATCAGATGGTTGAAAAATGGACCTGAAAAGGTCCCCAGAAACATATCCACAAGCTCCTGATCAGCCAAGGGTGGTTGCACTCTTTCGGCGAAGTCCCTCCACTTCTGAGCATAATCTTTGAAACCTTCGCCCGTTCCTATTGACATACCCTGGAGTTGGGTACGCGTGGGAGCGAGGTCGGAATTGTACTGGTATTGCCTGTAGAAAGCAGTAGCCAAATCTTCCCAACTGCGGATACTGGCTCCGTCCAACTGGTAAAACCATTCAAGCTGAGTCCCTGAGAGACTGTCTTGAAAGAAGTGGATCCATAGGTTCTTATCAGCGATGTACGGCTGAATCTTCCTTACATATGACCGGAGGTGCAGCTTCAGACAAGAAACTCCGTCATACTTAGCAAAGGCTGGTGCTTTGAATTTGTGGGGAATTACCACCCCATATGATAGACCCAGATCACCAAAGTCCAGACCAGGCACCTTCTGAACTTCCATTGCACTCAACCGGTCTTCCAGTTGCTTGTAGGGGTGTGCATGGATCAATAACCAAACCAAATTGAACCATATATATAATTTGGTTTGGGTCTTAAAATTACTTCATTAAAACCGGTTTATATTTCTAAAATCGGTTTACATGTGGATCGGTTCGGTTTTGAACCGGTTTCTCACAAAAACCAGTTTTTAAAAAGAAACCAATTTTAAACTGATTTTTCTAAAAACCAGTTTTTAATTTTCTTTATAAAAATCGATTTCAAAACCAGTTTTATAAAAAACTAGTTAATTAGTCTAAAAAACCAGTTGCTAATTTTGTTTAGTCTAATTATGTGGAGACTAAACAAAAACTTTTATAATGACTAACTATGCTAAGCATAATCATGGTAATGAAGCACTAGAAGGGATCTGAGTTTACTGCATAGTAAGAAACAGAAGGAAACAAAAGAGATTGATCATTCCAAACCTCATCAATATATTCAAACTATATTTGGTGACTCACAAATGGATTTGTTTATACTCACTTTAAATTTAAAGCTAAGAATTGCTTGTTCAAGCTTAATATGTGTATTAAGAGAAGCAAAAGCAAAATCAAAATCATTAGAAGAAGCATTAGAAACAGAACAAATAGTAGCATCATTCTTTTTAATCCTGTTTATACCATACCTACAACAGTTACTACTATCAATAAATACAAACATTACAATTCCTACTAAAAGCACAAACTTTGGTACATCTAAGTACCTTTTTATTGCATAATTATTTTGACAGAAAGATTAAGACAACCGAAATCATTTAGTACATAATCTGATTCATGGTCAATTTTGACAAACTCACCACGAATCACTTAACTGAACATGTCCAACCTACTCGATGCCCCTCTTCTTCCTGACCTCCACAATGAACTGGTAGACCTTATCCTGATCAGGAATAGACTTAGAAACACTCTCTATTTCAATACATCTCTTAGCCCAACCAGTAAACTTGGGACACTCCTTCTCTATATTGATGTTACCAAAAGTCTCATAGCCTTTAAACCAAGTGTAGAATGGAATAAGTGCTACATCCACATAACCAAGCTTCTCTCCTCCAAAATAAGTCTTGTCTCCCAACTCTTGCTCCAACAGTTTGAGGGCTTCTATGAATTCCTTCTTTGCAGCTTCTTTCTCTTCTCCATTTTTGGTCCAAACAAGGTTCCTTCCATTTTCATAGACCTATTTCAGATTGAGAATTGAAACACACTCAATTAGATAATCAAATGATAGAACAAGAAAAACATGCTAAAGGGTAAACTTTTATACCTTCTTGTCAATAAAATCAACCCAGAATCTAGCTTGTGATCTCTGATAAGGATCAGAAGGCAACTAAGGAGATTTATCATTCCAAGCCTCATCAATATACTGAACAGCAATGAGAGATTCACAAATGGGTTTGCCATTATGAATGAGAACAGGGATTTTCTTGTGAATAGGGTTCATCTGTAATAATTTGTGAAAACTAAAAAGCTTTAACCTGAATTTCATCGATTGTGCAGTTAATTAGATGAACCCATAATTAAAAAGCTTTTAATTTGTGAAAACTAAAAATTCTAAGTAGAATTTCACCTGATTCTGAGAAGAAAGCTCGTGGAGGCGTTGTTGAAGGACGAATTTGTTGGATTTGAAAAACAATTTTGCTGATGTTTGAGATTTTTGAAGAAGATTGGGATGAATTTTGAAGAAGTGGAGGCTTTTGTGAAGAACGTTGAAATTTTGTTGAAGAAAATTTGAAAAAGATTAGGGTTTTTGAAAATTTGGGCTTATGAGATTTGTGTAATTGTGTTTTACTGCATATGTTTCTCAAAGTTAGGAGTATAGTAACAGTGACCCATACTTTGGTCCAGTTTGGAACAATGGGTACCGGTTATTTTTTAATTTAATAAATGGGTCACCAATTTATAAACATAACTTTGGGTTGGATTTTTAAATTTGGATTTATTTGGATAGTAATTTGGTTTATGGTCACCAGTTATTATGCACACCCCTAGTTGCTTGTATCTATCCTCAGCTGGAGGATACTGGTCTTCGTCGAAGTCCGTCTCATTGTCTGAGACCACAGGGCTAGGAGCCCTCCTTTCTTCTTGATTATCTTTCCCTCCAGATGAGGTAGTCAAACCAACTTCATCCCGTAGCCTATTTCCAAACCTGTGACCTGTGTTAAACAGGACTGTCCTCTTCTTCTTCTTCTTCTCTTTCAGAATCAGGGTCTTCAGATCTTGCTGACCCTTAGCTAGATTCATGAACAACTCTTGGAATTGGGCATTTTGAGCCTGTAGGGCCTTGATTGCTTGCTCAGTTGATGGTTCAGCAGACATGATGAGTGCTGAAATAAACAGCGAAGAAGATAAGAGACATGTAATGGGTACCTGTTATGAAGTGCATGGGATGAAATGCGTATGCTATGATTTCAAAGACATCGGGAGATTCAAATTTATAAACCAAAAAGGAAACACACTTTTATTAGGTAAACTTGAAATTCAAATTGTTCAACAAATTGCCCTTAAGGCGTTACAAGAAAGGAAATACTAAAAAGTAAATAAAAACTGGAAAGGAAATAATCAAAGGACAATCAGTGCTCCCATGGTCGCTTCTTGTTGGTGCGGACATAGTCATTGAGAATCCGCTCGTTCTCCAGCTGCCTAGTCAACTTCTGGATCTTTTGTTCTTGCTCGTTAAACTTTTCTCGGTAAGCATCCCGTTCTTCTCTCAGTTGCATCCAAGACCTTTTCAATTCCCCAATGTCAGTGGGCATGTAAGGATGGAGGATGGTATGAAGAACCCCCTCTTCATTAGCAACTTCAACAATGATAGGCAGGACGGCTTCATATGGCATACCCAGCTTCTGGGCACGGATACGGACCCATATGAGATATGGCTCCATCGAAAGAGAAGTCTTTGGACCCAGCTCATGTGGATCAGATCTGTGAACTCTATCCCAAACCCTTATGAATCTGCGGCGTTACTCGTTGCTATCCCCTTGAAAATCAAAGATGATACTAGGCATTAGTAGCTCATGAGGTCCTTCTCTTCTGGCTCGCCCAAACTGACGTAAGGCCAAGAACGGATTGTAAGAAATTCCTCCATGGGTTCCTATCAGTGGAACATTGGGGTACTCCCTGCAACGATCAATAATAGCCACCTCGTCCATACCTTTAAGAGTCCAAATGATATCATTATGAGAGAGAGAGAGATACATAACCCTATAGGCCCAGCCCATGCCTTCTTTGTTCTTCAGCACTAATTTGGGGAGGTGCGAAATAAACCACCTCGCCAATAATTGAGCACAGCACATAAAGGTTCCCCGCTTTCGAGCAGTACGGGCATAAAGCTGATGAAAAATGTCACCCAAGAGAGTGGGTACAGGATTACGAGAGATGGAGATTTTAACCGCATTCACATCAACAAAGGAGTCAGGATTCAGAAACAATACCAAGCCATATATCAGCAGAGCCAGAATATCTTCGAATGCCTTGAAGTCTAGACTATCCCAGAAATAATTAGCCTTACCAACCAAGAACTTAGTCAGAAAGCCCTTTGCTCCACTTCTAGTCTCCCAATTAGCCATTACCTCATCCTTTGTCAAATGAAGGGCTGAAGAAATCTCTTCCGGCCTAAGGACCTTCTCCCAACCAGTAAACAGGGTCTGCTCCAAAATAGAGATACTGAGCAGATCAGAGAACTCTTCTAAGGTGGGAACCAACTGGTAGTCTTGAAAAGTAAAGAAATGGTACAATGGATCATAGAAATGGACCAAAACACTCATCATCTGCTCGTCCAATTTGGAGGTAACCAAACTGAGAAGATACCCATGTCTTATGATGAAAGAGGTAGTATCAGGCATCTTTGTAATCAATTCTTTAAGCATGGTGGGAACCTGGACAAAGTTGATCCGGATGGTATTCCTACGCATGGGCATCATGACCGACAAAACAGAACAAAGATGAATCCCTCCTGTCTTTGAAATAGGTTAGTCCAATGAAAGATGTATGCAATGTTATGATGGCATGATGTCATGATAGAAAGCACACCACAAGTATCCACAAATAGCAAACATGGTAAAGGCACACAAGTCACACAGATAGCCCTTAGATTTCAGGCTGGCAGGGAGCTTAGGTACTACCCTCTTTCAGTCTAGTTGGTTTAAACCTGTCCTAGAAATAGTAACCGGGTTCTAGAGGATCTCAATATCACTGACTACCCTCGATCGGTCATAATTCCAGTTTAGCAACCTTTTCTTGCGGCCGAAATCATCGCTAGAGTTTAGTCTCAATGAGTGTAGCATACTGCTACTGTTCTATGGCCAAGTTGGTCAATTTAAAGGTTCTAAGGTCAGTTGGTGCTTAATGACCCCTTAGCAGACCCATATTCTCCTCGTTGCGCCACAAGGGATATCGGTACATACTAAAGTGCCACACCAACGTAGCTACTGCTTCAACCGTATCGGTCTATGCTGTACAGTTCCCTCACAGTTTATAGCTACTTACCTAAAGGGTATCCCCCAGATCCGGGTTAGGATCTATAGTAATTCCAATACAAGCCCACAAAAGTAAAGCATACAAGTCAATCAATTGAAAACATTATGAACTATTCCTAAGGTACACCCCACTTATTAAGCGTCCCCAGCAGAGTCGCCAGTTCTGTGATACGGTGGGAAAGAACTGACTGTTTTTTGGAATGTTGGTTTGCGTTTTGCGTTTGTTTTTGCAAAAAGTCGCGGTAAGCAAGAGTCGCCACCGTCTTTTATTTTATCCAACAAGGAAAGGAAAAAGCACAGAAAAATTCCTTTTTCGATATGTTTCTCGGGTCTAGGGGGTAGATTATAGAAAGGGAAGGTGTTAACACCCTTTCTATTCGTGGTTATCCACGGGCTCTTAGGTACTTGCTCAAAGTGTTTTCAAAATTTGCTTTTCTTTGTGTTTGTGGGTTTGAAGGAAGTTTTTGTTTGAAAGGTGTAAGTGCGAAAAGTTTTTGTTTTATTTTGAAAGAGCAAGTACTTAAGAACCATCTACCTACTCGAAAAAGAAATCAATTTGTACTAATATCCTTTAGACAATGCTATCCCACTATTGATGAGTAGGTAGCATTGTCGTTGGATTTTTAGGGTCAATTCGATTAAGGGACGTGCAGTCACTAAAGCAATGTTAAGACGCCTTAGCGGTAAACCTAATGTCTTAGATCATTTTTACGAGGCAACCGTTTCGAGGCAACTATGATCTTTGGACAAGAGGGCGACCTCTAAAACTTCCTATACTCAATGACCGCGTTCGAAGGCAACCAAGTGAGGTGTACCCTAAGAGTGCGTATGTGCGAGTGTATTGTTTTGGTTAATTTTATCTTTGTACATATCATGGGTGATCTATGTTGATTTTAGGCTTTGAACGATTAATCTTGTCATGCATTCCATATTACCAAACATCTAACAGTTTATAAGTTGCGGAAATTAAATTGCGGAATTTAAACTAACTATTACAAGGCGTCGGGTATTTACATCGCCAAAAGCAACCCTTGAAATTAAAATGCGGAAAATAAATAAAGCGATAAAAATATTTAAAGTCCTAATTATACTATTACATTCCGGGAAACAGATACAATATTGAATAAAATGGATCGCGTGCGGGAAAATTAAATTGGGCGAGTTCTAGGGTTTTGACCCTTTAATTATTAAAGAAACGATTTTTTGTTTATTTTTGAATTAAAAGGAAATTAAACTAAGTTAATTATTGAATTAATAAATTAATTAATTAATAAAAATATTTTTGGATTTTTGATATTTAAAGAAATAAAAATAAATTAATCAAAGTTAATAAAACCTAATTATCTAAGTTGATTTTAATTATTGCAAAAAATATTAAAGTTATTCCTAATTAAACTAAATTAATTAAATTAATGTTTATTAACAAAAATAAAATGCTGAAAATTAATTTAATAAACAAAATATTTTTTGGTTTTTTATTTTATGAAGAAAAAGTGATTTAATTGGTTAGTTAATCATGAAAAATAATTAAACAAATAATTAAATAAAAGAATGAAATAGAAAAACTTAGGGGGAGTTTGGGCCTAATTTGGAGGCATGTTCAGCAATTTTGTGGCCCAATAAGCGCTGGCTTTGCTGACTTTTCTGATTCTCCACGCGCCCTTTGACTTGATCCCACCAAGGGCTTCATTCTGGACCACCAAATCTGGCCTGGGGCCATCTGGCAGGTTGTTGAGTGAGGGAGCATGATGTACCATGCAATTTGATCACCACTGAATAACCTGTTGAAAAATAATAATATGCATTTGGGGGACCTGGGGTTCGAACCCAGGTCCTGTTAATCATTGGACAACGCTTCCACCACTCAACCAACGCATTTTTATTGTTAGTGTATTAGGAATAAAATATAATATGGGAAAAATCAATAATATGCCAGAAATAAATAAAAAAAAGTGCGAATCGTTTGAATTGGCCAACCAGGGGGAGACACGTCTTCGTCTTCTTCGTTCAACCCTGGATATTTACCTGCGGATTTATGTCCGCATCTAAATTCGCATGTGCGTCCTAAAATCGATTTTAGGCCATGAAAACCAACCCCAAGACCATGGTTGTGCTCGTCTGACTCCCCTGGTCACGTTTATGTCCATCAATGGCATCAATTTTGCCTGTAAAAGAAATACCCAAAAAGCAATCTACAAAACCCTAGGTTCAGTTACAGGGCTATGGTTCATATAAACGCAATCAAACAATGCCAAAAGTTCAGAAATTGAATAAGCATCATGAAAATACAAAAGATTTGTCAAAAAAATGCAAGAACATGGAGTTACGATTTTGAACACAGGGCGGTATTTTGAGATACTTACAGCGCGATTGAGAGGGTGTGAGAGCTTGCTTTTGATTGCAGGAGGTTCAGTGGATACCCAACAATGGATTGGTGTTGAGATTTGCCCTTGAAAACACCTCTAAGAAGGATTTCAGTTTCACACTTTTTGGCAATTTTTCAAGTTTTACTTTTGGTGTTCTTGCAGTCTCTAGCCCTTGAATTCGTGTCCTCTCACTTGTATATGTATGCTGCAATGTATTAGGTCAACTTTTGGGTCTTGAATCTTTTCACATTGATGTCTTGAGATTTGATTTGATTCACCATTGATAACCTTCCAATTTTATCCAAAATCCAATATTTTTGCACATGGAATGTATGATACGAATTTGATTCACTTGATGATGATGATTAGGTCCTGAAAATAGAAAAAGATCTCATGTAATCAAGTTTTGTGATTTTATTTTATTTAAATTAATTTAAAATGGAATAATTCAAATAAAAATCAAATCAAATAGAAAAATTGATAAATGGACACAAGGCTGAAGCTAGGACACGTGTGTAGTGTTACAAGATCAAATCAAGTGG